TTAGGTATGAGTTTGTGGAAAGGGGACTGTTTAGAAAGATCTGCAGCCTAAAGTGCTCTCTAGCCTTGGGTAAGCAGGTAGGAATGGTGGTCTGAGAAATGGGCTCTGGAATCCTCCATCAGGCTGTGGCAGGAAAATAGAAAGAGCGGTCTCCCATTCCAAGAGGCTGAGTGAATTAAATAACAATCATAAAGTGCCCTGGAAATCCGAGTCTTGCCATAAATAATAAACAGGGACGTTATACAAATAACCAGCTTTGCAGCCCCAGTGGAGGAAAACACATCAGTAAGAAAAATGAAATAAGGGGGAAAAACACACCCCAAAGCCCCAACTAACAAAATGACAGTATTAGCCAACATCCCGGGGGCTCTGGCAGGCAGTGGAGGAACTGTCTCAGGAAAATGATTATGTGCCCTGAGCATGAGGAGGCCGTGGCTACAATCATCGGAGTGAGAAGCGAGGCCCACACTAGTGACTCTTATTCTTCTCTGGGTCCAGTCTCTTAATGGAAGTCCTAAGCCACCCTCCTCCCGCTTCCCATCAGCTAGAAGAACGCATGACTTTATCTGCAGGCCTGCTGGCCTGCCTCTCTTCCACTCAGCAGGCAGAAGCTGATGGGCTTCTGAACAGGCTCTGTGAGAACACGCAGGAGAAAAAAACCCAGATATGCTATTGGAGGCTGCTGAGCAAAACCAGTCAACTTCCTGGTTCTGTTCCTTTAGTGACCACAGTTTTCAAAGCTATGTCACAAGTGGTGCTAACAAGACGTATGTAGTATACTGCGAGCCAAGACCGAGGTTTTGGTTTGCTTATTTTTCTCCTCTTATTTTGATAAATATTATTTTTATGTAATCAGAAGCACAGAAGCATTGTGTCTTTGTGTTCCTCCTCCTTAAGAATCCTTTGGTCTCACTATGTGTGAATGCCTAGAGTCCTTTATAATTTACCATGTCCCAGTGCATTTCAGATTTAGCTTCTACATATGAGAGAAAGCATACACTATTTATTTCTCTGAGCTTGGCTTACCTCACTTAACATGATTTGTTCTAGGTCCATCCATTTCCCTCCAAATCACATAATATTATTCTTTCTAATAGCTGTGTAAAAAGGACAGAGTTTCTTTTTTTGTTTGTTTTTCTTTTGGTGCCAAATGTATTGGGGCTTGAACTCAGAACCAGTGTGCTCTCCCTGAGCTTTTGTGCTCAAGGCTGACGTGCTACCACTTGAGCCACATCTCCATTTCCAGCTTTCTTTTTACTGGTTAAATGGTAAGAAGAGTCTTACAGATATTTCTGCCCAGGACAGCTTTGAACCTCGCTTCTTAGATCTTAGCAGGAAGACAGACATGAGCCATTGGCACCTGGTTTCAGGATTTCAGGACCAAATTTTGCATCATGACATTTTGGAATCTTGCAGGCTATCTTACCCAATATCGTTCAATTTTCTGTACTGAGAAGATTTAAATTCAGATATCCAGACACTTGGCAGACATATAGCTGGTTCCTTACTCTGTGTGTGTGTGTCTTATGTAACTGTAACCCCTCTGTACATCACCTTTACAATAACAATAAAGCAAATAAACAAAAAAAGAACTGCCGAGTAGTAGATGATAAGGCTGGAGAGCCAGAGTTGGAAGGAAGGAAGCCACTCTGCTAAACTGCTTTGGCCCTTGACCTCTCAGACAGAGACTTGAATCCTAGAGTTCATAGAAAGCCCTAGAACCAGAAAATTGTCAGAGACATGAAGACTCATTCTAGCTCTGTAAGATGAGCAACTTCTCCAGGTCCCCATAACACCTGTGAGAGACTTTCTACATTCTTCTATTGTCACTTATGGTCCTCCTTAATTACTTAACTAAAAACAGTGAGAGACAGTGGCTAAGGCCCAGGGCTGGGAAAGGAAGAAGGAAGCAGTACCTTGGCCCTCCTGCAGGTAACTCTCTAAGAGGGGGCTGCGGGTGCATGCATCAGCAGTATATACATCACCACAAAGTTGAGAAGTCCACTAGGTAAGGCTCAGTGGAGTGTATCTTGGGGAAGGAGAGACATCTCACTTAGGTTAGTTGTGAGGTAGGATGTCTCTGTGTAGGTTAATGTCTGCACTGAGGCATGTCTGGTGCTTCTAGGGTGGGTTCCTTGAGGCCAGGCATTATATCTTATTCGACTTTATGGCTCTGGTGTGTAGAAGGAAGCCCGACACTTGTTATGAAAAACTGGCATCAGTTTTTTAGCGTTTACAATGGATGTTTTTCAATGAATAAATAAATGATCTCCTTCCGGCACTGTCTCTGAAGCAAGGTGTTCTTAATCACATGAAGACAACGATGTCAGACAAATCTGACATCCTTAAGCCTGTCTTTAGTTCCTCTGTTCTTGCCTGTCCTTTGCTGACTTTTGTTTGCATCTCCATTGGATGCCTCCTGGGTGTTTAGGCCAAACAGATACACACACACACACACACACACTCACACACACACACACACACACACTCAAATGCACGCACACCCGTGCACACACAAACATACTCATCACCAACCTTCTCCATTCCCATGTAGGCTGTAAACTCTCTCTGAGAAGCCAGTAAGAACTTCCATATAGAGTAAGTCTCTCATGGCCTACCACAGGCTTCCTTAAATGATCTTCTGAGTAGTACTTTTTTTTGATTGCTTTGTGTAGCTTAACAGAACCAATTGCAGTTACTCTAACTTATGATAAGCTGCTGTTCATTCACTATTTTCCACTTGCCCCTTCCCAAGTTGTTGTTTTTTTGGAAGGACTTGGGGGAGGGGAGGGTGGAAAGAGAAAGAAATAAAAAGATACCAAAAATAAACAGGGAAACAAAAGAAAGATGAAATCACTTCTCTGAATGACAGACGCCCTGTTAGACACTGTTCAACAAAACAAACATGCTTCCATATGGCAAAAGTAGGTCCTTTCTATTTATTATGAGTTGGAAATATAATGATCATCATCTTACCCTTAATGGAAGAAGCAGCTAATTGTTCCAATAGATCACTAATTCCAGCAACCTGGAGAAAAATAATTACTTTTTTTTCTTTTTAGTAGTTTATCAATTTGTTCAATTTATGCCAAGATAGGTTGTATGGCATGGATGGAGATTTTTATTTTGTGATCAGTGTCAGGGCTGCTATTCCAGCTTAATTATTAATACGTAGGAGTGATAAAGATTATTTTGAGAATTTGTAAAAGATAATTATAAACCATAAAGCAACTCCCTTCCACCCATTCTTGTAGATGCCTTTCTTATTGGAGTTTAGGCACCAGAGCTTTAGGAAGAGACAAGTAGATAATGTGTTACTAGGGTAGCAAGGCTGTCTGGGGTGGAGGCAGGACTCTCCCTCCACTTTTTCCAATAGTTTTCACCCCCTCTGGGCCTGGAAGGCACCCACCTGTGCCTTCCCCTTCGGTCTCACTGTCTTTCCCTTCTTCTAGCCTGTCTATTTCGTTAGTCTAGACTTGTAACTCATCACACATGTTATCTCAATTTGTTCAGCATTCCCTCACCTCCTTGGTCACCTAGAAGCTGGGGGGTCAAACACCTGGAGTTTCAGCTTTCAAATATAGCCCAGCTCCTAACTCCCCGCCCCCCCTTTCTTTTTTGGCTGCTCTAATCCCTAGGAAGCTAGATTCAGCCTCTCTAACGAGCATTGTCAGCAAGAGAACATGCGTATTCAGCACCAAGGACAGAGGCGCAAGGTCCATTCCCACAAATTAGAACACACAGCAGTGTTGGGAAAGGGAGGAGGCGATAGAGAAAAGAGAAAGAAAAAAAAGGCAATGAAAGAGATGGATAGACAGGATGTCGGCTGTACAGCCCCACCCCTGGCTGTGCTCAGCCATGGGGCTCCTACAAATGAGATGTGGCTTGTTGGAGTCTGCTGCCTTCTTACACTGGTGGGAGGCAAATAGGGGAGGTGATGGCTTCCTGGGTTTCCATGATGGGTGTACCAGAGTCAGATTCAAAGCTGGTGAGGGCTGGTGAGGGGTGTCATGGCTGCTGATCTGGGAGGACAGTTGGCTGCAGACTGAAGGAAGAGGGCATTAAAACTGGAGGGGGACAGAGATGATAAAGGTGAACTCCTTCCCTTTTGCCTGGAGCCCGAGTGAGGCTATTGGGACTCTGAGCCTCGGGAGGGATGGGCCCAGCTCGCAGCAGGCCATGTTGGTGCTATGCCAAGGTTTATTTGTCTAACTTTAATGAATAAATGGCATCCCCAGCCATTGTTTATCTACTTTTGAATTCTGACAAACAGTCTGTGCATCTGACAAAGAGGGTTATTAGCTGTCTGAAGACAGATGGCTGGAGGGCGGGGGGAATGCTTGGTTCTTTATTGCAACAGGCCCATAAATGACAGAACCCCTTTCACATTCCAGCCAATGTCAAGGTCAATACCTTCCCCACATCTTCTGTGACCAAGTGAGCTTAGCAAAGACGTGGAGAAGGAAGGCACAATGGCCCAGGAGTAGAAGGGAGGGGTGAGTCAGTGGAGTCGGAAGAGAGAGAGATTTCTAAGCACAAGCTCTTGGAGAATACAACACTGCCTCATCTTCTTTAGGATTCTCCTGTGTGCCTTGTAAGATACTGCTTGCTCAATATGCATTCAAGAAACATGAATGATTTCAGGGGAAAGATGGAGAAATTTGGACTCAAATGGCAATAGAGACAGACTTAATTGGTTTGGGTATGTGGGTGGTGGAATAAAGACAGGAGAAGAGAAGAGAAGAGAAGCAGGGGATAGAAAGGGAATAATGAAGATAGCCAAGGGGAATGCTACAGGTCAGCAGCTTGTGCTTTCAGCATTAGTTACCTTTCCCCATATTACTCTCTACCCAGTTTCATGGAAAACAAACTGAGCTGCCCATTCTGTTTTCAGAGATGGCCAAGGTTCTTTCTCTTGGCCATTCTGGGTCACAGTTATAGACATAGATTCTTCCCCAACCTGATATTACACCTGAAACAGTAGGGAGGTTCTCACTGACCTTCATTCATTCTCCGAAACTTGTCCTTGGCCATGTAGCCCAGCACTAGACAGCATCCTCTCTTCTGGAGGCCCAGCTCTGGAAGAAAAGCATGAGAGAGTAAGTTGAGAATGGATCAAGTGTTACAAGGGGGAAATGGACCTTGTTGCCCTTATAAATTGGGCTATATATTTAGTTAGCAAAATTTCTGCAGCACCTACTGGATTCCAGGCATAACTGTAATTCAGTAATTCTTATTAGATTCTCGCCACAGTATGTGGAGTGTTCACCATTAGTTTCATATCATCCTTATTCACAGATTCTCAATGAAACAGCCTTAGATGAAAAGAGCTAACTGATGGTGAAGCCAAGATCTCCATCCGAGGAGTCTTGCTCCAGAATCCATGCTTTAACTATGAATCTTGGGTTGTGAGGCATTTTCTGTTCTAGACTTGGAGACTGTCTCCACAGTGCCTGAAGATTGTGATCAGATAAACCAGTGGAGGGGCAGAGTCCTGCAGAGTCCTGTGCCCAAAGTAGGACCAGTGCAACCAGACACACAGGGTAACCCAGGAATGAAGACGTGATTTGGGTGAGTTTGGGGAAGATACAGGGGTTGAAGGAAGGCAAAAGACACCATTTAGAATATGTGAGTTTCTGGGTTGAGAATCCTGCCCATTCTTGTACTGAGACACTGAGCCATCATCCAGGATCTCTGAAGTACAGACTCTACAAACATTGGCATGTCGGAGAGACACAGAACTCAACGTGCTTTGGTCAAACAAGATAGAGGAACAATTCCAGGTAGCAAATGTAAGACAATTTACCTGTCTTTTGAACAGCATTTTGTAAATCAGTACCTGTTGTGTGTGAGCACTGAACTGGCAAAGGCAAAGCAAGCTTTCTTTCTGCTGTTTATTCCTTAATCCTGATTTGTCTTAAGAACTTTATGGGTTTTGAAGCAATTCCATACCTAACTTCTTTTTTCGCCCCCATAACATCCTTATGAGATAGGTAGGTAGGCCATTGCCATTCATATGACCCAGATGGGGAAACTGAGGTTCAACGATGCTGATTGCCCCCTATTTTTCTTTTCTTTTCTTTCTTTCTTTTTGATTCCCGTCTCCACCTCTTCTCTCAGAAGTCATTCAAATGGGACAGCTGTCAGGAATCAAGCAAATAGATTTCTGGAAGAGGGAATGTGATTCTATCTGCCCCTTCCCTGAAAACTTCCCATGTTTCCCTGGTCTTGTCAAGACTCCTGGGCACCTGCTGCTTTCTCCCTTGGCTTCTCAGTGAAGGAGGCTTTCATTGAGTTGTGGGTGCACAATACAGCCTGCTAGTGTCGTGGCTGTTGAGGGATTGACAGCTGTCTTATTCCTCCGCATACCTCTCTATTCCACCTCGTACTGTGTGGGTCCACCCTCTGAAGGTATCAGGATAAAAGGGAAGGGAAGGCTCAGGAGACCCAGATAAGTCAAGCTTAGGGGCTCATGCCCTAGAGAGAAACAAAGCATGGCAGGTGGCAGCAGAATGCTGCAGCCCAGGGATGCTGCATGCTTTGATCTCCTGATTCTTTAAAGGGGTTTATTGACTATCATTGAAGAGCAGAGAGGCAGATCTGAGGGTGATGTTTCCAAAGGCACTCACTTCCTTCCTTCCCTTGCACACTCGCTCATCTGAAGGCACAGGCAAACTGCCCTCACTTCAAACAGCCTTGCATCTCAGACGCCCAAATTGACGATGTTAAGTTCTCCCATCCAAGGCCTTGGCCCTTTCTTCAGGGGCTCCCGCTCTGTGGAGGGCCATGTGGATCAAAGCCCCTTTGATGTTTACTTACTATATTTGTGGATTTCTTTCTAACAACCACCTCCTAGAGGCAGGAATGCAGCATGACAGGAGGGAGCCCGGGGAAGTACAAGCTGTGAGGAGGCTCTGAGCTCCCGCCAACAATAGCCTCTTGTTGGAGCCTGTTCTGAAAGCTCAAGTGTGTGCTGGTGACAGGCAGAGTCTGCCTGCCCATTAGAATCGTGGGCACGCTGCTCACCATCAGAATGATGTAGTCGCTGACCATTCACCATTGACTCACGCCTAGCTAGATCCTATCAGCGATGGTCCTAATGAGAAAGAGTCTGTGTTCATGGATTGAACCGGGGTGGGGGGTGGGTGGGAGGAGTGCAGAAAAATGCTGGATGGATTTGGCCAATGTCTTGGTTTTGTTTTTAAAGCAATACCCTGTACTTTCAGACAAGGGGCAGGGAGAAGAATTCTCCCAAAGACTAGAGTATGCACAACTTGTTGCATCTGATTATCTACATTGCTGGCCTCTATCACATTAAGACAATCCTAGCCTTTTCTATGTCACATACTAGGATGTCCCTAGGTGATTGCCCGAGGAGAGACCGCACGTACACACAGTTATTTTAAGTAAGAGTCACCCTGCTTATGTTTGATTTTTTTTGTAAATGAATAGGAAAAGAATTTTTTTCTTTTAAAAACTTGATTAATAAAAGAAATTGAGGACAAAGTAATTTCTCAATGTTTTTGGCTCATTTAATTTGACACGTGTGGGTTAGTCTTAATTATTTAGGCGGCTACATTACAAGGCGCTAATAAGCACATTGCAGAAATTGATTAAGTGAGAGCACGCTCTGGCTGAGTCTTTGCTGAAAAGTGGGGAGAAGCCATTGGGGGGTCCCTGCAAGCACAGACACGTTCGAGGATTAACAAAATGAGAATTTAGGGTACTCTTTGGAGCGATTTGCAGAACTAAACTTGAGTTCATGAAGTCCACAGGTAGAAGATGCATACAGGAGGAACTAGCATGGGAGAAGGAGAGGAATCTGGAGGCATCCATGGGGGAGGTCTGATCATAGATAGAATGAAGAGGAAGCAGGAGGTTTGGGGAAACACCCAGCAAGTCAAACTAACTAGGAAATTAAAGGAGAGATCATAGAATATGCTGGAAAGAACAGGCGCCTTTCACGTTGCGAGGTAGCTAGCCACTAGACTCCCACCTTTCCTTGTCATACGCTGGACAGCAAGCTGAGGAGATCTTCTCTAAGTAGGAATCGGGGCTGTTGTGTATTGCTTCCTCAGCAAGAAGAACCATCTAGAGATCCCCAGAGGTGTTTGTGGAAAATGATTGACATGAGTTGGGTTCTGGCTTCAAAGGGAAACATTCCTAACATCTGCAGAGGAGGTGTGTGTCTGACAGGGGTACTGACCAAGGAAGGGAAAAAAAATGTAGGCAATGCTGCCTGTGTAAGCAAAAAGTTACTGGTGCTTTCCTGGGGAGGAGAGCTTGTACCCCAGGGAATACTTGCTCTGTAGACTATGGGTATCAGAAGGGCCACAGAGCTTTCTTTTCCAGCTCTGAGCTTTTTGTAGGTAGCACAGTATCTGATGCATGGCAAGTGCTTGGGGACACTGTATACTGTCTTGAAGAAAGAGCCCATTTAGAAATATTGGAGGGAGTGAATAGTTCTCCCTAACCCAAGGCAGGCTTGGAAACATATGGGCCGAAATGTAGCACAATGTGTTTAGGTTAGGGTAGGGATGGTTGTTGAGTGAATGAAAGTTGTAATTCATTGGAATGGGGAAGTGCTCCACAAGTAGGGAATGCTGTGGGGTTTCCTCTTGAGAGGAATAAAAAGAGAGGGCTTTAGAAAGGAATGGGTTTTCTGCAGCTTCAGAAGGTGTGGATGGGACTCTTTCCAGCCTGAGAATTCCTTTATTCTTGCTCATAGTAATAATGACACAGTGCAGTTACTTCCCATTGGTGGCCTATTTATTATTATTATTAGTTTTTTTTTAGGATGCTGTCATTCTTGCTATCTTATTAGATGCTCACAAGAGCTCTGTGAAGTAGACAAGGTAGAAATTATTTCCTCCATTTTGGATTTAGAAACCAAAGCTCCAAGTAGTCAAAGGGCAATTCAAGGCAGAAGTTGTGAGCTGTTGATGATACCCAGCTTAGAATTCAGGGCTGATTTCTGGCTGAGTTCTGAGGGTAAGGAACTGAGAAGATCCCAGGGCTATGGATGCTCTGAACAAAGAAGACAGACCAGAGACTAGAGGTCAGAGATCAGTGGTCTAGGCTAGGGCAGTGCTATGGGTTAAATGTGAACCACATACGTATTTTGGGGTTCTAATCCCAACACCTCAAAATGGGATTGAATTAGGAGACAGAGACTTTGCAGAGGTGATCTAGTAAAAATGTGAGTTAAACGCCCCAATGCAACACGATTGATGTTCACATTCAAAGAGAAACTTCAGAAACGAACAACCCTCCCCCCTCTTCCCCTCCCCCGCACATAACAGAAAGAATCAATAGGAAGACAGCCATCTATCAGGCAAGAAGGGAGCGAGGGCTGGACAGACCCTTCCCTCACAGCATGCAGAGGGGGCCAGTCCTGCTGGCATCTCCATTTTGGACTTCTAGCATTCAGGACTGTGAGCAAATACACGTCTGCTAGGTATGTGGCACTTGGTTACAGTGGCTTTAGCAAACCCATACAGACAGGAAGGGGGAGGAGCTGGCCTTCCCATGGCCTCTGACTATATCTCTTGGCCATGATCCTCTGGAATGAATTTGGAAGGACCCAGAATTGCCCATGAGACACAGCATCATAAAACTGCTCAGCACCCCTCCAGCAACTGATGACAGAGTGACCATCATGGCTACCAGAATGGGATAGTGGGGATGGGGTGCCAAAGATTATGGGAAAGAGGAGAGGTGGGAAGGGCTGGCTGGGTCTACATTTCCAAGCATGCTCTTGGGCACTCTTGGGGTGCCTAGAACCTTCTCCTACCAATGGGAAGACCATGCTGGTCAGGGATGGTTCTTGCTCATTCCTCATTCATAAGTCACTGGGCTCTCAGGTACCCATGGCTCAAGCTGGTGAGAATGGACAGACACTCCAACTTCCTCTTCATATCTGAGGCCATTTAACACATGGACATGGCTGTTGGGAGGAGGTCTTTCCTGTCTTATCTCCAGCTTGGTGCTCACCACATAGTTCAGGTGGTAAGGTGGTGGGATTTTACATGGCA